TCTCTCCAGTTCATGCCCCAGAGGAAGGTTTAATCTGTATCTCCAGAGGGGACAGGAGAGGTAGTTCTCGAGACAGGTAGCTGAAGGCAGGTGAGATAGAAAGATTACTGATTCCCTGCATTGATGGAACAAGCACTAGGGAGTATAAAACATAGGGGCATCTTCTGCCCTCTTCTCTCTAGAGGCAGAACCCTGTATTGGTGAAGTTCTCTATCTATAAAATTATCTATCTATGTATCTTCTATCTATTTGTCTGTCTGTCTGTCTGTCTATCTATCTATCTATCTCCTATTTATCATTTCTCTATCATGGGATTGACTAACATAATTATGGACGATAGGAAGTCTCACAGTCTGCTCTCTGCAAGCTAGAGAACCAGGAAAACCAGTGATAAAATTCAGCATGAGTCCAAAGGCCTGAGAACAGTGAAACCTCTGGTATAAGTCCCAGTCTGACTCTGAAGGCCTGAGAACCAGGTGGTGATGGTATACACAGTTGTCACTGGTGCAAGTCCTGGAATCAGAAGACTAAAAACCAGAAATGTCAGTGCTCCAATAAGAAGAGAGGTGTCCCAATTCAACAAGAGAGAAAATTTGCCTTTCTTCTACATTTTGTTCAGTGGATCCCTCAAGGAAATGGCTACTTCAGGAGATTAAATTTTCTTGACTGTTTCATATGCAAATATCTTCTGTAAACACTATCCACACATTCATCTAGAAACAATGTTTTACCAGCTATCTGGGCATGCCTTAGCTCAGTCAAGTTAGTCTTTGCACTCAGACAAGGAGAACTGCTGGGAATCCTTTCGTGGGGGGGGTCTTGTTAGCTCCTTGAGTGGGAAGCAGACAAGAGTATTAGGACTCTCTGATGAAGTGGAGCTTAGAGCAATGACCTCCTGTCTCTCAAAACACAGGCCTCCTTTGTGAGTGACTGTGTTCACCTTCCATGGCAGTGTTCTCTCGGCACAGGGAGAGTTATGTGGGACACAGTGGGAGAACCCAGAGCGAGAGGCAAGCAGGTGGCCAGGCTGCTAGCAAAGGTGATGGCCCTGGTAAGGGAAGAAGCCACTGTGGGCTGACTTAGACCCTGGGAGAGGATGGTCAGTTGTGGGAGTGGAAGCTGCACAGGGCTGCCCTGCTGTGGATGAGTAGTGGGCAGGTTCTGCCCTGAAGGTAGCAGGGCAGTAAGGCACAGCCCCTTTCCACAGTTCCTTGGAGGCTCTTTCTGGGGGAAACAAATAAGTGTGTGAAGTAGTTTAGATATGGAAAGTCCCCCTTGTGTTAAAGGGTTGGTTCCCAAGGCTTGGCACTATGGGGAGGTTATAGAACCTTTAAGAGGTGGGGCCAACTGGGAAGTCTTAGGACATTGGGAGTGTGCCCTTGAGGTGGATAGTGGGACTCAGCCTTGTTATCTTCCCGTCCTGGCTGCCATGAGAGGAGCCACTTCCTCTGTCACCTGCTCTTCCCATGATGTGCTCCCTTACTACAGGCCTCAAAGCAACCAGGCCAACCAACCACATGCTGGAACTTCCAACATTGTGAGCCAAAGTAAACCTTTGCACTTTTAAGGTTGATTGCAAAGCTAGCTAACAGGGTATAAATGGAGTTAGTGGAAATACAATGTTTTCAAATATGGTACGCTAGATATTTACAGAGTACTTACAGAGTCGTACAGATTTGTACTACTCTGAGTGCTCTGAGACAGGCCTAAGTGACCGTCATTGGAGAATAGGTGGGTCTGCAAGTCCTCCTGAGGTTGATGAGTCTGTGGAGGAGTCACCATCAAAACATCTGAGGGAAGTGGATGGAGGGGCCTGAGTCATGGGGGTTCACTGAGGCTTCTCACCACAGCAGGGATCAACCAGCTGCAGGTGGGCCCAGGAGAGAAATCAAGTAATCTGTCTTCCCACACCCTGCTTCACTATCTCTCTTTTTGGTAAGAACCACAAAACTTCACTCACTTAGTAACTTCTCACAAATCAGACAGGTACTGAGTAGAACAGAAAAGGGACCTGGCCAAGAATATAGAGGAGGAAGGGTGCAAACCTTTACCCTTTGTCCAGGCTATCCCTAAAGCAGTGGACATTGGCTTTACATTGTCCAAGGGGTGAGCTATGTGACCCTATGCAACCCAGGAATCTGAAATATTTAGAAGCACTGTGTTTGTTTGAGGATGGAGCAGAACCTATTTTGAATGGGAGTTGAATTATTCAGGAAAGTGAGAGCTCTCTATTGTCCAGGAAAACACAACATAGGGAGGCCAACTTTTCTTAAGGTAATGAAGCCTCCAGATGATGAGCCCCAGGAAGTCGGCCTGAGGGATTTGCCAACTCAGCTCTGTCATTTGCTCTGTTGGGCAGGTGACTAGAGGTTCTTCCCAGAGCTCTGAGGTGCTTCCCTTCCCCAACCCTGAAAATACTTGTAATTAAAATTCAACAACCACAGCCAGGTTCTGTGGAGCATGCCTGTAGTCCCATACCTTGGGAGGTTGAGGCAGGAGGATCACAAGTTCAAAGATAGCCTTAGCAATGATGAGGTGCTAAGTGACTCAGTGAGACCCTATCTCTAAATAAAATACAAAACAGGGCTGGGGTGGCTCAGTGGTCGAGCCTCTTGTGTTCAATCCCTGGTTGCCCACACCCCCTGCCCCCCGCCCAAATGCAACAACCACCTATTTCTTCCTACAGATGTATGTCTGATCAGCCCAGGGTTTGCTTTGAGGAAGGTGCCTATTGCAAGCATTCCTTTCAACCGCCTTCAGAGTCTGGTACTATGAGTTCTGTGAATTTCAGGTGGTTTTTGTTCCAACAGAGCTCATCATTATCTTCACACCTAAACAAATGTGTACACAGGTATATTGGTTGGATCTTTCTCTTTCTCGGGCAAGTGTGGTTTTCAGTAGCATCAGGCTGGGGAGACACATTTCATTATTTGGAGAGTCCTGTAGGGACAGCTGTCACACAGCATTACTCCAGCTGCCCAAGGCCAGCACAGAACAATGCGATCTGAACGGTCCATCTAACACGAGTGACAATAGGGATGGGTTGAGAATCCTGCCACATTTTTTATGACTCCTAAGGAAAACCTTCTAAAAAGATGAGCTCAAGTAGGAGTTGGGTTATTGTGGTTGAAATGTGGTGTGATTCATTCATTCCTTCAGTGTGCATCAATCCTACTATGTGCCAGGCATATAAGGAGAAAGAAAAATGTCTTCAGAGGGTCTGCGGTTGTGTGGCTAGAGCAGCGTTATAAATTATTTTAAAATATCATGAAAATGCTAGAAAAGAATTACTTTGTTTCTTAATTCAGTCTTTTATTTGTTTGTTTGTTGGTTTGTTTATTTATTTTTCTTTTTAAGAAATGGTATCTCACTATGTTGCCCTGACTGCCTGGACTCCTGGGCTTAAGCCTTCCTCCTGCCTCAGCCTCCTGGGTAGCTGAGATGATTGGTGCATCGTCCTGCCTGGCCTCATCCATTTATATTCACTCATTCTTCACCAGAAACAATAACAAAGGGTTTAACCTGTCTTAAGTACTAGATGCCCCAAACCTGGTTCGCTGATCATCACGTGGAAAAATTGTTTACCAATGGAAATGGACCACAGGGCAAGATGGTGCTAGGGAACCTGAGAAAAGGGGACTCCAGCTTCTGAGATCAAGCTCACAACAATAGCCATGTACCTTGTGTTTATCCCTGCAGGGACTGCCTCATCTTTCTGGACAGAACTTTTCGCTCTCCAGAAGTGTGACGATGGCTGCCCTTCCTTCCCCCTCTGTGTCTCAGGGTCACTCAGAGGGTATCTCCGCCATCTGTAGGGCTGTCTGCTGCATGCTGGTCTTTCAGCTTTACTCCTGGGAGGAGAGAGCTGCAGCTGTGCCTCTATGGCAACTTGGCCTGATTCAGTCACTGACTGAAGGTAGGGAGAAGGTCAAGTTCCGGAGAAGTTGCACATCGCGGAGTTCTTTAGTCTTAAAGTTCAGTCCTGGTTCCTAGTGAGTTTCTAAATCCAGATACTTGATGATACCTATGGAACTATTGTGATTACCTCGAGTAGGTATTACCTCCAGTCCCCTGGCCAGATTCTGGTGGAGATAAACATTTGATAAGTATCAAGAAACAACCATCTTTGGTGTGAAAAGACTCTGCCTCATCACAAGCAGAACTGCACTAAGTGCTGAAACGGTCTGGTGGAAGCTCCGTGGGCTTCTGAACAAGCATCCTCAAATGTAATGATAGAGAAATGGGGACCAGATGTGGTGGAAACTCATGGTGGAACAGAACCTTATGTCCAATAAATGCAGAAAGATGTTTCACCACTCTGGCCATCAAGGAAATGCAAAATGTAAATCTGTATTTTGTTTGCTTATCCAATTGATAGAAAGTTAAAAAAAATGCCCCTGAGAATATGGAGAAAAGGATGTTCTCATCCATTGTTGCCGGAGAGAATATAAATTGGTGCACACTTTTTGTAGACTAATTTGTCAATTTGGGTAAGAACAATCTTAAAATGTTCATACACTTTGAGTC